TTGTCCGGGACATCCAGATCTTTATGGAATAATTCCTCTGTGTATTCTTGCCACTTCTTCTTGATGTCTATTCATTAAAGACTTCCTATTTGCCCATTTCTACATAATGTGTATGGACATCAATTGATGCTCAAGAAAACTACACTGAAGGATCTACTAGACAAAGAAGTTACTCTCCACAATAAAACAGGGTCTAAACTTTAGTGGCACTCTCCCCACCATCCACATATAGTCAGCTTTTTCTGAGAAATTGTGTGCATTTATCTCTTCAGAAAGTAGGGTTTATTTTTAACTCACTTTGTCTGAGGACAGTTTAATTCTATGGGATTTTATTGAAATTCATGTCTTTGGTGCAAGCTTTCTAGTTGGCACTCAAAAACATTTTTTTAAAAAACCAAAAAAAGGAAGTGGATTCCTGTAATTTGTCTTAAGAGACATTTTAAAGAGAATGCTCTATCTTAATTTTGTCTTTATTGGAGATAAATCCTAGTAAATTGGATGCTCCTCCAGTATTAAGTGGTAAAAAGCAGAGGGAACAAATGCTCTGGCTGGACAAGTCCTCAGACACATTTATATTCTCCGATGGCACTGTAGAAATAGGGATGCTTTAAAAATACAAGCCACATGTGGTTTTCATGTCTCCTTAAATGTGATTCCTGGCACACCTTATTACAACAGCCACACTGGCGGTTGTATCAAAAAATTGTTTTAGTTGCAAACATGTTACCTAGCAGAATTTTCATCTTTTCCAAAATCTCCTGAAAACCAACTGTTTATTTTTCAACAAAAGTAGCTGGAACATTTTGTGGGGCACCATCCATTCTACATAAACAAGTGGTGAGAGGGTTCAGTGATGAAAATAAACATGTTTGAATTAACACGCCACCTGTGATAATCCCCTTAACTGCTAAATTACATTATGGATGTGGGGTTATGATTTGGCTCCAGTTTTACGAAGCCAAAGAGCTAAACTTGAAGTTTTCTTAAAGGGACACCCCCACCACCAATCCAGTTCAGACTTATCATCTTACCCAAATGCCTGCACAATATGTGAAAAGGTTCAGCTTTAAAGCTGCATAAATACAAAACTCTAGAATTTTACTCTGCACAGGATGGGTTCTAGATTGTTAGCAGATAGCTATTCAACAATTTTATACTATTTAGTGTGTTTGAAGAGTTCAATTTTTGCTTTTAGTATTGAGTACAGACAATTTTTACAATCAACTCTGATACTGTACATTGAAATCTAACTTAGTGTGAAGTATGATTTTTCCCTGAGGTGTAGATATTTCTTGTGATGTTAATGGCACATTGTGCCACCTCTTATAACAAAGCCAAACTGCTATTCTACTGAAATTGTTTGATGCTTGATTGGACAAAAGAAGCAAAGTTATAATTAAATATCTAAGTACTTTATGACTACTTGCATGCATTATTGCACATATTTTGTTCTAGTGTGTGGGGTTTTTTTAATGCATATTTTCCATAGTTTTTTTTTTTTAAATCTTATTAATTGGGTTGTGTTCTCCTGGGTATATAAATTAAGATTGATCTGGGTATATGTATCATGCTGATTACTTACTACAGAAAACTGTGTATTAAGTGTGTGCTGGAGCAGAAATTATCTTCCTTGCTACCAAAATCTATACATATACCTGTACCTAGAATGTCTTCCACATAGTCACCTCATCTATCCAGGTGCAGAAACAGAAGTGTGTTGCCTTCCACATTTTTACTAACTCCATTTTCATCAATATGTTTGGACATTCCACTGAATGGCATAGCAAGTAATATTTCCTGTAAAGTCAAGTTTCATTAATATTCTGCCACTACCTCACCTATGTAGACAGCATTGTGTTTCTTTGGATTAAGGTCATACCAATTAATGTACATTTGCCAAGCTGGACAGATCCTTCCGGCTAAGTATGCTAACAGGGACTTGCAAACCTACTGCCAGGGCTGATGCTATGATTACTCCTGAGAGTTGCCGTTACATAACTGTTTTGCCTTGATTTCTGTCCGTTCTAAATTGACATTTAGCTTCCAGTATCAATATCCAAACCATGAGAATGGAGCCCCACATCCAATGTCATTTTCTTCAATCTCTGCCTGAGATCTGTCTCTCTCTCTCACACACACACACACACACACACACACACACACACGACCTTATATAGTCAGGCAGCCTGCTTCACCATATTGTTTATCAATGTTATTATCTTCTAAAGACCTAGGATCTGCCAATCCATATGTATACAGATTGCTAATACAGTTAAAAGTAGGATACATCTCTACTCTGTCCACTCTACAACTGCACAATATTAGTGTATGCGTCGCTGCCTGATACATCACTTGGGATTGTCTAAACATTAGTTAGATATACTGAATGCCAGTGATCAGCTGTTTTGAGACAGGGGAAATCAGCTGTTACAATCCTTCACCAAACAAAAGACAGATATCCAGATTATCCAACTAGGGATGCGTATATGTGAGCAAAAGTTACACCATACACAATTACTAAAACCCAAAAGGAAGTCACAAGAGTAGGCCCATTGAATCAGTGGGGATTTGATTGATTATTCATCTATGAGTTCCATTGATTCCGTGAGCTTCCTCTAGATGCAGTTTACTAATGGATTGCAGCCAGTGAGTTTTTGACCAATAAGTATTTTTCAGGAAAATTAAGCAAAACCATTGTGATACTAAACTGACCACAGGGCTGGAGAACTCCTGGGCCTCCAGGTATTGTTGGGCATTAGCTCCCATCAGGTCTAGTCAGTCTGTCAAGGAATGATGAGCAATCATGGAACTTGAATAATATCTGAATGGAGACAGGTGCACCACCTATGATCTACAGGCAAATTCTATACAGTTTGATCACTCAGTTAATAGCAAGACAAGAAAACTGACCCAGTTGAAAGTCCTGCTTAGAATGCATAGGTATTAGCAAATCAGCCTTACTTAATGTAGCCTGCTATAATAAGGAACAAATTCATTTCTAAATGGGGGTGGGATCTAAAATCTTTCTGAATTGACATACAGGAATTTGGCCTGTGAAACTCTAGTAAGCCATGTGATTCACAAAAACCATTGTCCAAGAGCAGATGGGATTCCTTAAAACTGGACAGAAGCACCTTCAGAACACTTTCATCCACAAACGGATGAATAATTCTAAGATTATTACAAGTCTACTAACCTAAGAGCAAGTCTCTAAATTCACAGGGTTTCATTTCTGTGTCTCAACCAAGCTTCAGTGGATGAAGATGAAAAACAGATATGTTTAGACCATCTAGTAACAATGAAACCTAAAGGCAATCTTCCCTAATTCGGTTATCTATCAAACTCTTTATAGTTTTTGTTTAAAATGACAAGTGGACAACTTCTGTGTAATATCTAGTTGTAGCTTAAATACTCCCCATTACCTTTTTGTCTCAGTACATGGTCAGACAGAAAATGATTGATGAGAATATTTCCATATTTTGTTAAGTTTATTTATTTATTTTGGAAAATAATTTCAACAGGAAAACATTGTGATAACAGTCCCCCAGCCCAATTCACTATCTTCTCTTACAAAAATCTACCCATTTGAACAGCCTGTCCTCTAAACCAGTGCAACAGCTATCACAAAATTAGAACAATTCAATACAACAATTTTTAAATATCCCCTTTGGAAATGGGGTTCATTTCTCACTAATTCTGCCTGAAAACCATTTTTTTAAAAATCCCAGACCTCTTCCATAAAAGGATATACCATACAATGTAAATATCATTTTGTTCAATGTCCTACAAATAAATTACAAAGAAATAAAGAAATACTTTTCGTCAAGAACTTTGGTTATGAGACTCATATGTTATGGTGCACCTATATCAAACTGCAAAACAAGAGAGTGGATAGCTTCTGGTGTACACAGTGCCCCTTCTTGCATCAAATGGTCTTGTTTTTCATAAATCTGAAGCTCTCATAAAAATGCCTATAAAGCTGAATTCAATAAAAATGTTTTGAAGAAGGAAGAGAAAGAGACAAATATAATGCAAACCTATTCACTTTAAAATATACTTAAAGAGTACAGCTCTGTCTCACTAATTTCTACAGGAGAGTCTTGGGACTTGTTTCTGCTACCAAAACTGACAGGATGTTAGGTGCTTCAATTTGAATAACTGAAAACTTTTTTTAAAGTTGTGGAGAAAAGGAGGACTATTCAACAGAATCCAGTCACAAATTGAGCATATGTATACGCCACTAATTTCAATTTTGGATATTTCAGGTTAGCTTTTTCATGACAATCAATAGGAATTCAAAAGCACTTAGCTATGACTACATCACACCCTTGAAATCTGGGAGGAGGTTTCCAGTGACTTTGAATGTATGATTCTGGAAGAGGTTCAACACACTTGAGCATCTGACTGTGTTTCCTTCCCTCATTCACTGTGATCAACAGGCAATGCAGTTACATAGTCACCTCATCTATCCAGGTGCAGAAACAGAAGTGTGTTGTCATTACAGTCATGCACAGAAAAACAAGACTGTATGTCACCAAATAGTTTTTAGTTACACAACAAATAACAAAAAAGTCACACTTACGGACAACAGCAAGAAACATGCAAACACTCAAATGACCTGAAAAGACAACTGTGAAAACTCAAAAAGGGAAATTCAACAAAAGTAAGATTGCTCTGTACCACAGTAAAAGGCATCTCTTAAAATGAAACATCCAGGTGTGGAATTCTCCAGTTCATGCGAACATGACAAATGCAGTTCTTTCAAGAACAGGCGAGAAATTATCTCTCTTTGTTCAAACTCCACTACCAGTTTTGGTGTACTTCAGGCACTAAGCAGTCATGTTGCTTCTGGCATCATCTTCACTTTCCAGTTAGCTGCTCTGCTCCTCTTTCTCATCCATCCTTGAAGGACCAAGTTCAAATGCTGGGAAGCGGGAATTTTCAGGGGTTAATATGTCAGAGAGGAAGTGTATAGCTCCTGCCATACCTGAAACAGAAAAATCAAATCCACATTTAAAATGTACCAAAGTAGAAGCAGTGCTGAAACCTTCCCATTCTTTATCCATGACTATATGTTGCCAGAAAAACTGTGAGATGGAGAGAACAGGTAGCAGTTGGCAATGCCCACAAGACGCCATAGGCTAATCCACAGGAGGCAGCTGACCCCTCTTTCTGAGACTCCTCTCTCAACATCTGTGGTAACAAAGACACCAGATAAGGAAGTGTTCTCTTTTTAAAATCTTTCCAGCCTTTTTCTGCTGTTGCAGGATTGTGTAATTTAAAAACAAGATTTCTCTAATTTATCTGTAAGTGGAAATCAGCTGCTAAAAAATCAACTTTCCCACCCCAAATAAGAACAACTTAGTATAACGTCTTTATAACCCTGCTACAAATGCACAGCATGAAGGAAAACAGACATTAGCTCTTACAGTTAACGTGTACTGCGCAAAATCAATGCAACCATTCCTAAATAATACTGCAGTTCTATAGATTAACAAAAGATGGCAAATAAGAGTCATTTTCTGAAGACAGCTATTTCAGTGTTGTGCTTCTATGGCCTGGTGACAAGCCAGGATTTCTATCAGGAAAGTATAGCACACAGAGACTATATATTACTAAAATCTATAATCCCACTCCCTCCACAATACCCTCCAAAAGATGTTAATATTGAACAAACAGCAAGCGTAGTAGTTAGTAGTTTAGTCGTTTAGTTGTGTCCGACTCTTTGTGACCCCATGGACCAGAGCACGCCAGGCCCTCCTATCTTCCACTGCCTCCTGGAGTTGTGTCAAATCCATGTTGGTTGCTTCGCAGACACTGTCCAGCGATCTCATCCTCGGTCGTCCCCTTCTCCTCGTGCCGTCACACTTTCCTAACATCAAGGTTTTTTCCAAGGAGTCTTCTCTTCTCATGAGATGCCCAAAGTACTGGAGCCTCAGCTTCAGGATCTGTCCTTCCAGTGAGCACTCAGGGTTGATTTCCTTTAGAATTGATAGGTTTGTCCTCCTTGCAGTCCAGGGGATTCTCAAGAGCCTCCTCCAGCCCCACAATTCAAAGTCATCAATTCTTCGGCGGTCTGCTTTCTTTATGGTCCAGCTCTCACATACATCACGACAGGAAAAACCATAGGTTGGACTATTCGGACTTTTGTTGACAAGGTGATGTCTCTGCTTTTTAAGATGCTGTCAAGATTTTTCATCGCTTTCCTCCCAAGAAGCAGGCGTCTTTTAATTTCATGGCTGTTGTCTCCATCTGCAGTAATCATGGAGCCCAAGAAGGTAAAATCTGTCACTGCCTCCATATTTTCCCCTTCTATTTCCCAGGAGGTGATGGGACCAGTGGCCATGATCTTAGTTTTTTTGATGTTGCGTTTCAGACCGTTTTTTGCACTCTCTTCTTTCACCCTCATTACAAGGTTCTTTAATTCCTCCTCACTTTCTGCCATCAGAGTGGTATCATCTGCATATTGGAGGTTGTTGATGTTTCTTCTGGCAATCTTACTTCCAGTTTGGGATTCCTCCAGTCCAGCCTTCCGCATGATGTATTCTGCAGATAAGTTAAATAAGCTGGGGGACAATATACAGCCTTCTCGTACTCCTTTCCCAATGTTGAACCAATCAGTTGTTCCATATCCAGTTCTAACTGTTGCTTCCTGTCCCACGTATAGGTTTCTCAGGAGGTATATAAGGTGGTCAGGCACTCCCATTTCTTTAAGAACTTGCCATAGTTTGCTGTGGTCCACACAGTCAAAGGCTTTTGCATAGTCAATGAAGCAGAAGTAGATATCTTTCTGGAACTCTCTGGCTTTCTCCATAATCCAGCGCAAGTTAGCAATTTGGTCTCTAGTTCCTCTGCCTCTTCAGAATCCAGCTTGTACTTCTGGGAGTTCTCGGTCCACATACTGCTGAAGCCTACCTTGCAGGATTTTGAGCATAACCTTGCTAGTGTGTGAAATGAGTGCAATTGTACGGTAGTTGGAGCATTCTTTGGCACTGCCTTTCTTTGGGATTGGGATGTAGACTGATCTTTTCCAATCCTCTGGCCACTGTTGGGTTTTCCAAACTTGCTGGCATATTGAATGTAGCAAGCAGTATAATTCAAATGCCTGGAAACTTGGAAAGTTTGTATTGAAAAGAGGAGGTTTTATATATCAAAAGGCCCAATCCATACAATATTAGAAACAACTATAGTAACCTATATACCTTCATCCAAAAATATGTATCACTGAACTCAATGAGATAGATATATAACATTGCATTATTCAGTCCACTGAACTGGGAATTACTTCCAAGTAAGATAAACAGGACTGGATTGGATTGCCAGTCTCTATAAACACAACTGAAATGGATTTGTCGTGACATGCTTGAATCCCATCAACATTATTCAGATACTGCCAGAACTACCTTTTGCTGAATTATGATTGAAGTGAATGTAGGCAAGCACCTGCTCCTCTTTATACCTATCAGTCAAGATTCATACATGGTAATTTCCTGAGTGTTCCAGGCAGTTAACCCTTATAGTTGGGTGGCACCATGCACACTGTTTCTATTCACACAATGTTTTCCATCACTGATTGTCACAATGCCCCAAGATCCAACAGTCTCTTTAAAAGGTTGTCTGAGCAGGTAGTAAGCAACTTCATGCGGTAACTACTAAGAATCACCAAAGGGCAAGAAAAACTGACTGGAATTGTTCCATAATTGGGACAGAGGGGAGATGGGGCTTATATCTTAGGAGCTTGAGACTGATACAGAAAAACAAGAAGAAATCGAGTATTTTGTGATAAGGGAAAACATTTTAGCCAGGGCATTTCAAGTTTTCACATTGTATCATCTTCTTCATCTGCTTCTGCCCACTGATATCCAGCGTGGATCAAAGCATTCTCTTTTTGCTTCTACGAACTTCTGTTTCACACTTTTTAAGTTCATGTTCATCTGTTAATATACTCCATCCATCTAGTACGCAGTCTTCCTCTGCTCCTTCCGATCCAAAGTCATTATTAATTATTTATTCCATCATCCATCCACTTGTCCCACGGTGTCACCCACTCATCTCCACTTCAATGAATTTAATATAGTTTTTTTTTAAGCCAAGAATATCATACAGGCATGACACTATTCCATTAAATACTGGAGGCATTCAAGAGAAAACTGGACAATCATCTGTCAGATCTGCTTTGATATGGATTCTTACATTGAGCAATGAGTTGGACTTGATGGCCTTACAGGCTCCTTCCAACTCAATTATCTATGATTCCATGAAACAATATTTTGGAGGACTACTCAGACATTAGTTCCACTGTGTTCAACTGTGCTAACTCCATTGTAATTGTATTCAGATTATAGCCATGACTAGTTCACATGAAATTTGCTTGCAGTCTGACTAATCCATGAATTGCTTTGAAAGCTGTTGGTGTCGCTGTTGTTTTGTTATTATTGAGTATAAATTCAATAATAAAAGGATCCTACCTTCAAAGAGTGAGTAGGGTCGGTCAGGAATACGACAACCATGCGCACCATAATCTAGACACCACTCTGCAAACTGGGGGGAAAATGGCAAATCAAAGGGAAGAAATAATGCCTGGCTATTTTGATAAACAATTCAAATGAATAAATACCAGCATCCAGTAGATGCAAAATACTGTGAAGGGCAAAAGGATGAATACATTGCAGTTAATCTGCCCCGATTAAGAGGTCTACCTTCAGCCCTACTTAAAACTCTGAGATTCAGGAAAGTGGACAGGCAGATTAACCAAAATCCACTCTGCAGTGATTAAAGTTTGCCTATCATGAATGAATTGATCTTCCTCTTTCATTGGATCTAGTAAAATTAAGGGGTATTGGCAGCATGTCAATTCTAAGGAGAAATATTCATGAGCTTACATCAGAGGGCAGTAGTAAGCAATTCTACCCATTACCTCTTCACCTGGCAAGTGTCTGACAAAGAGAAAGGAGGCCTCCCCACCAGCCTATTAGAAGTGATTTTTTTCAGTCAAGCAGGAACTGACCATCCACTGAAAAGAAATCCCTCTTGATGTTAACATGATACAGTCTTACTCCCAAATTCCACTTCTTACTACTGATTAAAAATGTTAAATGTCCAAAGTGTTTATCACCCATATTCAGGCTAAGATGTGGAATTGAGAGCAAGAGCCTCCTTCCCACTAAGAACAACAGACCTTTAGTTTCAATTTAGTTTCATTCCCCACATAAATGCTGCCATGGCTGCTCCTTCACCTGAGTCATTAACTATGTCCTTCAATGAACAGTCACAAGACCTTGATTTTGTGGCAGAACTTTGACATTTAAATTAGGCAGCCAAGGCAAATAAACATGCTTTACTGCTACAGAAATCAGCTTTCTAACATTGTTTTATGCACCTGAACTGACTGGGTGACCCTCCAGATTCTGGACTCCAATTCCCATGATCCCTTATGATTATCTGTACTAGATACAGCTGAAGGGAACTGTGTCCCAATAACATCTAGAGGGTCATCTGTGCCCCACTCCTGCAACATAGGAAAATCGCTGTCTGAGCTGGGGATGCAAATGAAACCAAATACATGCATAAGAAAGAACTTATCTGAAGAGGAAACTGATTTTTTTCCAGAAGCACATTACTTTTAGAGAAGGAAAATGATTCTTAAACTTTATAGGTTCCTATAGTTTCTGTGACACAACCAAAAAACAACTCAGCAAGGAGTGACTATGCTCAAAGAACATGGCATGCAAGCTAACAGAGTACAGGGGATACCTAGAAAACTGGAGAGAAGGCAACATAATAAAACATACCTAATAAAACAACCTGGCTAGCTGGAATTCTGCATGAGAACTTCCATGCTGCAACAGACCTTAATATAAATAATGGCAATTATTTTTTAACTTTTTTTTACACATTTGTGAAAATTCCTCCTTTTGCCCTACTTATTAATCACAATGGAGAAAAAAAATCTTAGGTCATCAATCATAAAAAAAACATTTAGATGGAGAACACAAATAATGTATGTTTAAAAGGCAAACTAAATATATAAATCAAATCAAAACCAAAATAAAAGATACCTTGCAAGCTCGGTAGAGGTACTTTTTATCCTGAGTGAGGTGATATAGAGATAGGAAGGAGTAGGCATTTCCTGCAGTCCCATGGCAGATGCCATACCCTTTCCTCAACAATCCTCTCTGCCAAATCACATCACTACACTCCATGGCATCTTTCAGATACTTGTCTTCTTTGAAAACCTGTGGAAATTAACACATAATCATAGTGCTTGGAAGGAGGCAGGCAATCCCTCCCCCACCCCCAGTACAAACACCTGCTTTGTGCAGGACAATATTTTGTCCTCTGGATAGATCTGAACCAGCAACCTCCTAGGCCCACTACAGAGTTCCCTTCTGTGTGCTTAATAATAGGAATAAATCAACAAAACTAATGACGACAGTAATAAGTATGCCCTAATCTAGAAAGGGAGGACCCCGGATGTGACAGATTTTCAGGTGTGCAGCTGATGTGTGCTTCTATCTGCCCTGGGAGCAGGGGTGGCACTGGCCCTGCTTGGCCACAAAACTCATTGGGTGTGTGTGGTGGCACTGGTAAAATTGCTCCTTAAATATCTCACACTGGATGTGATTAAGTGCCCAAAGCACACATGCAGATAAGCAGTTCTGCTTTTATCTTTGTTTATTCATATTATCGTGTTTTAAAGTTCGATTTTTAAGCCAGGCATTAGTAGTAGTGTCTTTTTATTACAAGGGAAGAGGTTTGAGGTGAACTCCTCCACAATTTTTTCTTTGGTGGAAGGGAGCCAAACTTGAACAAGCTGTTGTAGCCTTCTCTGTTTTAAGATGCTTGAAGAAGCTGAGCATTGCATGGAAGCCTGGGATATGTAACATCACATAACAGAAGAATTCCAAAGTCAGTGACAGCAACAAAAAGGCATTTCAGTAAGAAAAGATTTGGAACTAAAAATAATAATAAAACAGAGTAGGGAAAACAACAGCTGTGTTGCAAAAGGTAGGGATGAAAGAGGCGCATGCTGCCTAGAAGGTAAGGCTTGGAAGTCCCTGGAAGTTTGTTGGAAACAACCTGTTAAAACCTTTTAAAATACTTTTAAAAACAATTTTAAAAAACATTTTTTAACAACAGAATGGGCCACTGCTATAAGAAATAGGTCTTTCCTTGAGGGCAGGTTTCCCTCTGCCCTCAAGGAGACACTCATTAGGCCCATAAGAAAGAAACCTAGTTTGGCGGCGGACGAAACTGGCAATTATAGGCCCGTCACCAATGTTTCTTTCTTGAGCAAAGTGGTCGAGAGGGTGGTGGCTGACCAGCTTCAAGCACATTTGGATGAAACAGATGCCCTGGATCCATTTCAGTCGGGCTTCAGGCCGCGCCACGGTACAGAGACGGCATTGGTCACCCTGTACAATGACTTATTGAGGGAGGCCGACAGAGGTAAAATCTCTTTGTTGGTCCTCCTCGACAACTTGGCGGCCTTCGATACCGTCGACCATGGTATCCTCCTGGGGAGGCTCTCCAAGTTGGGTATCGGTGGCTTGGCTCTGGCCTGGTTCCGCTCCTTCTTGGAGGACCGTCCCCAGAGAGTTCAGCTTGGGGAGAGTGTTTCGGCCCCGTGGAGCCTCAAATGTGGGGTTCCACAGGGGTCGACTCTCTCCCCAATGCCGTTTAACATCTATATGAGGCCGTTGGGTGGGGTCATCAGGGGGTGTGGAGCATCGTGTCATCAATATGCTGATGACACCCAGCTCAACATCTCCTTTTCACCAACTACAGGTGATGCCGTCCTGTCCCTCCAGCGCTGCCTGGAGACCATACTGCAATGGATGCGGGAGAACGGGTTGAGGCTGAACCCGGACAAGATGGAAGTCCTGAGGGTGGGTGCCCCCGTGGCAGGTGGCTTGGGGGGCTCTCTCCCATTTGGGGGGCCACCCTGGACGCAAAGAGTGGGGTCCGCTGCCTGGGGGTACACCTGGACCCAACGCTCACCATGGAAACACAGGTGGCGTTGGTAGTCCGTACCGCCTTTCCCCATCTTTGGCGGATTGCCCGGCTGCGGCCTTACCTAGACATGGGGGCGCTCACCACCTTAGTACATGTGCTCGTAATCTCTAGATTAGACCACTGTAACGCGCTCTACGTGGGGCTGCCTTTGAAGCTGATGCGGAAACTTCAGGTGGTGCAGAATGCAGCGGCCAGACTCCTTACTGGAGTGAGAAAATGCCATCATATTTCACCTACTCTGGCCATGCTGCACTGGCTGCCCAGCCATTTCCACACTGACTTCAAAGTGTTAATGCTTACATATAAGGACCTAACCAGTTTAGGACCTCGATACTTGGCGGAACGCCTGCTCCCACCTAGATCTACTCGGAACCCCTGCACGAGCCAGGAGGTGAGGCTGAGGAGCCTAACCCCGAGGGAGGCCCGGAAGGAAAGGACACGAAATCGGGTCTTCTCGGCAGTGGCTCCTCGCCTCTGGAATAACCTTCCTCTGGCGATTCGTGCGGCCCCTACGCTGGGTACTTTTAAGAGCCAACTGTATTTTCAGGCCTTCCCTCCTGTCAATATTTAATTCTTTATTTTTTTCTTTCATTTATTTTTTGTTTTTACTTTCTTGCTAACACTCTCATCTGCTGATGAACAGAAATAGATGGTGTTACTGAACCTCTGAGGACTACAGATGTTTTTGCTACTCGTTCACTAAGAAGAACATTTTGGTCAGAGAGGTGTTTGCTGTCTCAGCTTTACCTCCAAGTAGATATTGGAGGCAGAGCTGAGGTCAAAACGGAAGCATAAAAATGGAGCAGGCCTCTTTAAGTGACTCTGAGATTGCAGACAACACATTATCTCCCCTACTATTTCATCAGGTACAGAGGATTACACCACTGATTATTACCCCTATCTCTGAACTCAGAAAGAAGCACAGTTGTTCTGGGGCTTTGGACCAATCCCCTGCCCTGACAAAGAAGACCAGAAGCTCTCTGCCATCTTCACCCACCTTGGTCAACAGACAAACACGGAAGCAAACAAAGATGGCAGATTTCATCCAGAAACAGGAATCAATGGCATCTAGGACATGGCATGATTTGGTAGTACCTATGACAGTCCAAGCAAATTTGCTTATCATTTTACCATAAAAAGGTAAAGGTTCCCCTTGACATTTTTAGTCCAGTCATGTCTGACTATAGGGGGCGGTGCTCATCCCATTTTTCAAGCTGTAGAGCCAGCGCTTGTCTGAAGACAGTTTCCGTTGTCATGTGGCAGCGTGACTAGGGAGCGCCGTTTTACCTTCCCACCGAGATGTTACCTATTTATCTACTCACATTTACATGCTTTTGAACGGCTAGGTTGGCAAGGAGCTGGAACAAAGCGACGAGAGCTCACTCCGACGCGTGGATTTGATCTTACGACTGCTGGTCTTCTGACCCTGCAGCACAGGCTTATGTGGTTTAGCCCATAGCTCCACCACGTCCCTTCATTTTACCATATACGATCCCAAATAAGGAACCACTATTGGAAAACAGTCATTTAAAAAGCTACCTGAGTGTGGACTTTGGTAAACTAAGAATGGAGGATTTTTCCTCCACCTGTTATTACTCCTGAGGAATAGGTATGAACCAATAAAAGTGAAATGTTGTGGAAGATGCAGGATGAAGGAAGAAATCCTGCAACGCATACATCTGTTCAGACTAACAAATCTATATCCATAAAGGACAGGGACAATTTATCATTGTGTGATGTAATTCTGGAAATCAGTGACTTTCTGAGGGAAATCAAAGATCTGTTAGGACTAGTAACTGGATCATTAAAGAAGAGAGTCCAGTCTACATTGGAGGATTTCTAGGGTCAAAGAAAGAAAACTCTTCATCTTGGACAGGTAAAGATGACCTATACAATCTAGTATCACCCAATATTGCTGACAGAATTGCCAGCCTTTCCCTTGAGGAGTTATTGCTCTGTGCAGATCAGAATCCTCTTGGCCCCTCTCTACCTCCGGAAAAAGATCTAGATAAAGCTGACTGTGATGTTGCCCGATATCTCATACTCATGAATCTGAAGTCAAAACATCAAAAGAAGAAGCTAGAGAAGTAAAGGTGAAACCAAACAACAAAAGGAAAGAGATAGGTCCATCTAAGAAATGGACACCCAATATTATAACAGAAAAAAAACTAAGTGTAAAAATAATGTGAAATATGAGGGCTCAAAACATTTGGTAAGAAAGCAAAATAGTTTGAAATTTAAGCTGCTTTTTAAGATGAAAGACGCAATGGATGCTGGTAAAAGGCTAAACGTGATAAAGCAAATCCACAATAAAGAAAAGAACATAAGAACACCTCTAAAACATGCTGGGTAAAGAAATATTTTCTTTTGCCTGTTCTCATTCTCCCAACACTCAATTTGAGTGGATGCCCCCTGGCTCTGGTGTTGAGTGAGAGGGAAAAGAGCTTCCCTCTATCCACTTTATCCACCCCCTGCATAATTTTAGACGTCTCAATCATGTCCCCCTTTAGGCACCTTTTCTCTAGACTAAAGAGCCCCAACTGCTGTAGCCTTTCCTCATAAGGGAGGTGCCCCAACTCAGTCATCATTTTAACTGCTCTCTTCTGCACCTTTTCCAGTTCCACGATTTCCTTTTTGAGGTGCGGCGACCAGAACTGTACACAATACTCCAGGTGTGGCCTTACCAGCATTTTATTTTCAATCCCCTTTTTAATGATAGCTACCATGGAATTGGACTTTTTCACTGCCACCACACACTGCGTTGACACTTTCATCGAGCTCTCCACCAGCACACCAATATCTCTTTCCCGATTCATAATGGACAGCTCAGAAACCATCAGCTGTTAGCTTTGATCTTTTTGCCCCTAAAGTAATGGCTAAAGAGATTTTAGAACAGGCGAAAAAGAAAATACTTCTTTACCCAGCGTGTTGTTAGTCTATGGAACTCCTTACCACAGGATGTGGTGATGGCATCTGGCCTAGATTCCTTTAAAGGGGGATAGGACAGATTCCTGGAAGAAACCTCCATCACAGGTTACAAGCCATGATGGGGATGTACAATCTCCAGGCTTAAAAGGAAGGTACCTCAAAATGCCAGATGCAGGGGAGAGGGGTATCCGGAGACAAGTTGTTTGTGTGCTCCCAGAGGCATCTGGTAGGGCCTCTGTGAGATACAGGAAGCTGGACGAGATGGGCCCTTGGCAGGGCTCTTCTCATGTTCTTATGAGAATAAGCCACATAGTAAAACAAATGTGGGGAAGAAAGTAGCAAATGAATTAGCATGTATGGTAGACATAGCAGCCTTAGAGGAAGCAAATTCTGTGGAACAGGATCCACATACTCCAGCACAAGGGCCACATTCATTACATGGTATGATGTCTGAAGTGCCTACCCAAGTTTGGAGATAGCCAATACTGGAACTGATGAAGGTAATCCAATTCTGGTTTTGATCCAAGACAGAAATACAAATTTTAGGTTTGGAATGTGGAAGAGTAGAAGGTATAATGGGGTGGTGGAACATGTTAATAAATGTTCTAACAAGATGTTAACTGCTAGGAATCAGTGGCAAAATAGTGATCTAAAATAGATAAAGAATAAGGAACTAATTATGACTGAAGGGAACAGTTCAGTCTCAGAGGTGGAACTGAATGGCAAAACACGTATTGACATGATGGGAGGATTCAGAAAATAATTCCATTAATTTCTTGGAACACTGCAACAATTATTGGTTCAATAAGCTGATGGACAACAGCTTTATAGAATATATTAAACAATTTCACATAATTTGTTTCCAAGAAACTTGGACAAATGAATTTCTATCCAAGAGTTTTCTTCTTATTTTCACCCTGCCATTAGAGTTAATAGCAAAGGAATAAAGGTGGAATGACAGTTTGCATGTCAACAAGTAGAAGAGCTGTCTGTACTCTCCCAAAGCTTTCAGGCAGTCCATCTACGTAATTTTGTTGATTGCAGCTTAATTTGTATTAATGTCTATATTCAACCTAAAGGTTTAATGGACAGTGACAGTAATATCTGGACTTTGTTAGATTCCCAGCTAGAAAAAAATTCAGAAGAATAACCTCAAACATCAGTAATTATTTTGGGGATTTCAATGCTAGAATTGGAGGTAATAATGCTGTTGTAGCAGAAAAAATTGGTCTACTGAGTGAAGATTTGTAGGAATTTCCTCCCAGAAAATCAGGAGATCAAGATATGTGTATTAATAAATCTGGCTTCAAGTCATTTAATACTATTTATAAATAGCAACTGGTCATTTGTAATGGCTCAGGATAGGGAGATTCAGAAGGGGAGTTTACTTTCTCCTGTTGAAGAGGAGGAAGTAGAGTCGATTATATCCTCTTGTCATCAGTAGGAGTTCCATGGTTCAAATAATTTTTAGTGAGGCAAAGACCTGAAAGTGATCACCAGCCTTTGCTTATAGATATGGTTGTTCCTGGAGCACTGGTTGTCCTGAAAGACGTATTTTTATCCTCACATACCCAATCAAGGCAAGTGTAGGCGTAAACAGAATTCAAAAATGCAGAGTACTTCTCTCGCCTATGGAACAACTTACCTGTAGAAATCTGCCCGGCTCCCTCGCTGAAGGCCTTCAATACTAGCTTGAAGACATGGCTATACAGACAGGCCTTCCCTACAGCTGTTATCTAGCCTATCTTCCTTTTCCCCCCCCCCCCTCTCATTTTTCTTCTTTTTTCCTTTCCCCATCTTGGACTTTGTGATTAATTTGGATTTTACCTCAGTTTATTTTTATGTTATATGTAAACCGCCCAGAGTAGACATATTCTAGATGGACGGTATATAAATCTAATAAATAAAATAATTTAGAAAATCTATTATATAGCCTCACATTAATTGGCTAGAGAAAGGAGTTAAAGCCAATATTAAGTAAACCTAATTGTAATGGAGCAAAACATAAATCCAACACTGAATGGTTGGATGGAGAATGGAGAGAGAAGAAATGAGAAGTAAATAATTTGGTTAAAAAAATGAAACAAAATCACAGTGATCTCCAGTTATTAGATCTGGTACAAACTCGTAGGCGATAAACAATTGCGAAAAGAAAATGACTTGAAAATAAGATGTTCCTCTATGGCAACAGCTTGAAATAGGAGCAGTGAATAAGGATGCTGCTAAATTTTGGACATTAGTATCACAAAAATCTAAGCAACCAAAACTCAATGGTGATGGCAAATAGTGTGTGATAAACAAGAAGAATTTTTACACAGATATTTAATTCAAAGCTTCCCAATCATGAAACTCTGCTATATAACAAGTATATAAAGGTAAATGAAACTGACCCATGGCCTCCAGTGACACCAACAGTGGTTAAAAAACCGATGAAAGCATTGAAATACAAAAAGGCTCCAGGTGAATATATGTTACCATCTGAATTTTTCTTAGAAAATATTAATTGGTGGTCCCTAGTGCTGGCAAAATTGTTTACTTTCATAAATATAACTGGTAAGCTTCCTAAAGCTGGGAGACAACTATAACTGTACCAATTTACAAGAAAAGTAAAAGTGATCCAGATAATTACAGGCCTGTAAACCTACTGGATGTGACCTAAAAATTATATGCTTGGTATTAGATAGAATCTAACAATATCATCGTTGAACAACAAGCAGTTTTAAGGAAATGTAGGAGTACTACTGATTAATGTTACATCTCGTATCATCTTATGAACAAATATGACACAATTTTTTTAGATCTTACAAAAGCATTTGATAGAATTGAGAAAGGCTTTAGAATTCCAATACTGATAGGAGATTATTGACTTTTATTAGAATGTTGTATATCGACACACCTGCAAGCATGAGAGTTGGCCTTTACGACCAGCTGTCAGATTTAATTCCAACTTCTAAGGGAGTATGGCCGGGCTGTTTATTAGCCCTCATCTGTTTTAATCTTTATATAAGTGATGCAGTTTTGGAGTTTGAAAGCCTAGGATATTTTCCTGTTTCAGTTTCAGTGCACAAATTGTCAGTTTTGCTATATGCAGATGATACAGACTTAATATCACACATGAGACACTTGAAAGACGTTTGCACAATTTGCTGTAAGGAATATCTTCAGATAAATAATGCTAAAACAAATGTTGTAGTGTTTGGAAACCACCCATTGAAGCATAAGTGGTCTCTGGATGGCCAAGTGATTGAACAAGTGAAATATTTTAACTACCTTGGTGTATGGTTTGCAGACAGGGGCAACTGCTCACATCTTCGGCTTTGAAGGCTACAAGAGCTGCATATGCAGTTCTGAGCTTCTCCCAGAACAAAAGGTGGGGATATGATCACTCCTGCTTTAAGAGTATTTTCATCCCACCGTTATTTTATGGAGGAGAAATTAGGAGAATTACAAAAGCAAAACATTTGGAAACTGTGCAAAATAAATTTTACAAATTCTTGCTTGGTTTGCCTCTATCTACCCCAGCATCCAGAATTAGAGCTGAGATTGAGATTATGTCAGTAAAATTCTATATCTATGTTGCCTGGTTTATGTATTACTTTAAGCTCCTTAAATATGGAGGATTCCAGGTTACCTAAGAAATGATTTCTAGTACAAATGAAATCTGGCAGACAAAAAAAAAAAAACAAAACAAAACTGGATGGCTAATTGTGAAAAACAAATGCTAGCCTTTGAGTCAATCCCACAAAATATACAAACAAGAACTCTGAAACAGATCCACAAATGTATAAAGAAAAGGCTAAATGATTTTTATCCTCAGCAAGATCTAAATTAAGATTTCATTAGCTTCCCCTTATTTGCATTTTTACATTATCCTATAGATTTATGTATTATCTATATGAACTGTCAGCCCTTCCCCTTAGAAAAGCATTTTTGGCACTAAGATTTCAAACTCTGCCTTCACTATATCTGGAAGGACGGTAAACCCAGGCACCAAGATCTCAGCGCTTTTTTATGTGGAGCACAAGCAGAAGAGGACAGACAACTTTATTTAGTGCACTGTCCCATATACAGTGAACCTAGCACAAGTTTCAGAGCAATTTTGCTAAAGGATAGGCTAGATAAAAATGATCAAAATAAAATCATCTCTCTGTTATCTGACACCAACAAGGTGGTAACAGATAGAGTGGTGAGACTCGCTGTGGCTGCCCAGAAGTTAAGGAAAGAGTATCTGAAGACCCACAAAAGTAACTGAAATTACTTACTTTTTATTGAAATTGAATGTGCATTTTAATCGTTTTATATTTTGCTTTTAATTCAGCATTTTGGTGAATGTACATATTTGTATTTGTATCTGTTAGCATTGTGTTTGTTAAACTAGCACCTTGCTCATGTATTCATTATTATCTATAGTTATGTTTTAATTTAGTGGAAGCTGAATGACCAAAGTAGTCAAAACAAGAATAAAAGTACAAGTGAACTGAATACAATTAGATGGCACAACGCATAAATCTGTATATATTATTCAGATAGCTGAGATGTGCATGTTTACCAGATGAGGCTGGATCTGCTATTTGGTTATATATAAAATTGATAACAAAACACTAAGCACCTTAACTGAAGCCTACAGTCAAACAAATCAGATCATTTTTTGAACAGCACAGCCATAACAAAAACTGTGTTTGAATATCTTAACCACTTTCAAAAGCAGTTTGTCAGACGGCAAAGGAAGGAGTGTTGCTTAGATTTGCATTCCTGCCAAGGAGCACCTTGTCCTCTTGGGCTAATATAATCAAATTTTACAGACATTTTAGATCTTGGTCAGTGCTGGCCCTACCATTAGGGCCATAAAGTGAGGCAACCAACTCAGGCAGCAGATTCAGGTAATCTGAATATATATGATCAGGAAAAGGGCATCTAATTGCTATTTAATTTGTTATACTGGAGCTCTTTACTGCTAGAGCTGAAGAATTACTTGGGGGATTTCTCCCCTGTATGCCCAAATAATATGGCCATCCCTTAGGTGGGAGCTGCATTTGCTGCCCTGACTCAGACAGGAGAAGTTCTTGGGTTCATTCTGATCTTTGTTCATAGTAACAAGTTTCTTACCCATGCAGCAGATAAAGTTTTACTGGATTTTGAGAAAGAAGGGTAACATAAAGATGGAGGAACATTAGTGGGCATCTAACAGGCTCCTATTAGGAATCTGAAAAGCTGACTTTCATGGTAAAATACTGTATGGGTTTCTCATGTAGGAAAACAAGGGCATACCTTATATGCTTGCATGAGCATATGGATAACTCCTGGGGCACCATGACACCAATGCACCAATCTGTCAGTTTCGTTGCTTAAAGATGAAGGATAATTCCCAGATCGGAATTTTTTATGACGCACATAGTCGATGCTTGGCTTCACCAGTTCTGACAAAGTCTCCTGATCCACATTGGCAGCTGGCTAAACAAATGCACACAATACATTGTTTTTAGAAAAATAACAATATTACTGTTCATCCGCATTGTCATTGAGAAATCTAGTAAATTACTTTTCCTTTTGCCTTCCATTATCGTTTAACTAGGCAACAGCAAATGTGGGGCACAGCCCCACTGTGTTAAGGGGAAAATCTAGCCTAAGAACCATGAATGGTGGGTTAACCAGGCAATAAACTTTCCTCAGGAAACATTACCTGCATTAGCATGTAGTAGATCCCAGACACACCGTGAGCTGCACCAACATACTGCTTCTTGTGCCATTGGTACAATAATGGACACCGTTCAGTCTTTTTTTCTTCCCTGGAAAAGTTTTTACCGGATTCAATGATGGAGTCCACTACCTAGAGAGGATAGAAAAAAGGGAGATATCCAACTATTCCAAGAAAACTCACATTTGATCAGCATGTTTTATAACCAACAAATATAAAAATGCTGTATTTTCTTTAAAAACACACACACTGACATAAAAACACAATGCTTTATGTTGGCTCAAAAAGAAAAAGAAAAAGTGTCAGCTCCAGCCCAACTACTGGACAATGCCTGTGATATCATTGGTGTCAAGCAGACACTGGAAATGTTACTTCTTTGGATTACAACTTCTAGGATCCTCCACTGCAGGAGATTCAAGGGTTCTAGGGAAACTGAAGGGATTCTGAGAGGCCTTGTCCAAAACGTATTTTTTCTAAGCTTTGGTGTCAAATAGTAACTTCTCTCAAATCAGGAATTTTTAAAAGCTGTGTCTCATTAGCATTAATGCAAAGAAACTGAGAAATTGGGGAACATGAGGCCCATGTTAGAAAATCAGACTTCTTTTTGTGTGCCCGGGAAAGTTGGCTGAGAACTGTCATGGCCAGCAACAAGGAGGAGGTAACACTGGCAGCTTATTTTGTCAGAAAGAGGCCTTTGAGGCCAAGTCAACGTCTTCCCTGGTGCTGCACTAATTAGATGATTTCAGCTGTACTCTTGTCTTCATTAACATTTGAAGGAACTCAAAGCCTGATTGGTGAATCATCTGGAAAGGTCTGGACTGGGAGGGTTAATGTATAAAAATAGCATGAAGGAGTCACTCTGTATATGCTTCAGAAATACGCTGACTTACACGTTTCTGTGTGAGTATTAGTTGGAATAGTTTAGCTTTATTATTTTCTTGTTTGTTCACTTGATTGCCATGCCATAGCTTTGTCTCAATCAAATTTTTGCAACAAACGCTTTTTGAAACCATTTCTGTCATTTTGCTTTTTAGTCTTTTCATTCTATTTAAAATAATATGAAACTTCTTCAACTGTCTGAGTTTTCAACTCAGAAGATTAATGGTATTAAAACCAAGTCTTGCCATGAGCATCTAGCAAGAATTGTTGGTGCTTTTGCAAATGTGATGGAAACTACTTTGCAAGGTGGGCATATTGGTCCTAACTGCCTAACCTTGTGGAATTGTGGACTCCCTGGAAGCACTACCAAGTCTAAAAAGACTGATGTGTTAGGAGGGAAGCTGGTTCCATAGTCCTAACCACAACTCACTCACCTGGGCTCACCCCCCCAGGGCTAAACTGGGCAGTATAGCTAAGTGACGGGCTCTCTGAATCTGAGCACAAATTACTTCTTGGCCCATCTGATGTATTTTTGAAAGGCTTCACTGTTGAGCATCAGCAGGTTTGCCTCCCCCAACCCCAATGCTCCTCAGGTAGCAATACCTCACTTTTTGGGAACTTTTTGTTCTATCTTAATGTCTTCTCGGAATGCCAAGGCATTCTTCCTCTTCAATCTGCTCTTCAAGGCAAGTAAAGGGGGCATGGTATCTGTCAGCCATCTTTCCATTATGTACTGGGACAGCATTTCATGTCTTCCATTGATGCTGGATAAGCACAAGAATTAATAGTGTTCAGGAAAATCTGAGTTCACAAAACGTATCTGGAAAGGCAAGAAAAGGGTAGGAAGGGCCCAGGAAGGTGAGCAGCAGTTCTGCACCAACAAAGATGTGGGAAGAGTTGATTCCAACCTATAAAGCCCTAAATGGTTTGCGCCCAAATGATCTCAAATTTATTTATTTATTTATTTATTTGATTTATACCCCACCTATCTGGACCACCGGACCACTCTAGGCGGCTTCCAATACAAAATCAGACAATAAAACACAGGTAAGTACATGACAATTCAATAATCGCTACAATGAAATAAAGGACAGGGAAAAGTAAGGAAAAAAATAAAAAATCAAGAGTTGTATAGCAAGTTCTATAATGATTTCCCAACCTCTTTACAATATTCTTCCTGTCTCGTTTAATACAGTGAATTTTCCCATGACTTCCTGGGCCTTTTCACTTCATGAAGCAGCTCTGCTCTGGTGGAAGAGTTTCCACGCTATGGTGCTTTTCATTGCAGTTTGTGTCTGTAGCAAGAAATTCCCAACGAGAAGCTCGTTGTACTCCAGAAAAAACACCAAACATGCTCGCAAAAACAAAGGAAATAAACAAAACAGCCCCAGGATAGAGAGGGATATTTGAGATTGTTCATAAAAGATTTCAGAAGGATGTCTTAAAGAAAAATTAAGTTGGTTTGTTTGGACTCCAATCCCACTAAGCGGTGCCTTGAGTTGTGAAATTAATTCGTTCCGGATGATGGTTGTAACTCAAGTTGGTTGTAACTCAAAGCACCATTTCCCATAGGAATACACTGAAAAGTGATTAATCCGTTCCGGTCATTTTTTGGTTGTATCTCAAGGCGTTGTTTGTATCTCAAAGCATTAGTTCCCATAGGAACTACTGTAATGCGAAAG